CGGATGTTTTCAATTCGTTGGGATGGACTGATTTTGGCCAGGGCGTGTAGCGCAGCACGTCCCCAACCGCCTTTGCTACTTCGACTTCTACAATTGCCCTTGCGTCTGTCGGATTGCAAACGCCCGACACAGCACTCGCTGGTATTTATAACACTGCATGTGTGCGTTGAAGATTCGTGGGGGTTCAACTAAACCTTCTCCACCGGGCCGTTGGAGATCATCTGGGGCACAAATCCCCGATGACGATTTGCTGCTTCTTCGGGCCGGAGTAGAGTTGTCCGAACTTCCCCGCAAAGTTTGTTCCTCGCGCATTCTAGCTGCATTACCCCGTCCGGAGCAGTGACGTTCAGGTTCCTCTTGGCCGACTACTGGAGTGACACATTTGAATATATAGTTCCCCGCGTGGTATTGCCTCTCTCTTTTTTCATCTCTTGTGGGATATACCCCAGAACACGTGGCGCAGTTCATGGTGACTACTGCTTGTGCCCATAATGTCTCGGCTCGTTGACACAAGCACCTCGGCAGGTGTCTGGCGCCAACTGCGCGACAATCCATACATTTTTGGTTTGTCTGCTGTAAGTGCTTCTTTTTTTTTTCCCTTGAGATATTTTTGCGGTTCATTGACTGATAAACGACTTAGTTCGCCTCGTTGGGAGGGTTCCTCTTCGGCTATGACCAAGGTGTAGTCTCTGGGGTTCTGAAAATGGAATCTTTTGGTGCAGAATTCCCGCGAGTATATCTTGACAGTGGATTCAAGGGCTGGTTTGTGTCGACGCTTTTGCTTGCCGCGTGGCTGGGGTCATTGGTCAACGGTCCGATTGCAGACCGGTTTGGCCGCAAGGGATCAATGCTGGCGGCCGTGGTTGTCTTTGTCTTGGGGTCGGGTCTCCAAGCCGGTGCCCGATCCATTGGCGTTTTGTTTGCAGGTGAGAATGATTGGTTCGTCGTCATGTGGATGATGTGACACTTACTAGTGACCACTCTTTTGGACAGGTCGTGCAATTGCAGGATTTTCAGTAGGCATGCTGACCATGATTGTGCCCATGTACATGTCGGAGGTTTCGACCCCAGGCATTCGAGGCACCTTGGTTGTCCTCCAGCAGTGTAAGTCCAACGACAGCTTTCTCGAGAAACTTGGTTGCGAAATGCTGATGGAGTGTCTACAGTGAGCATCACGCTTGGTATTCTCGTCAGTTACTGGCTGGAATACGGCACGCAGTACATTGGCGGGACACGATGTGCGCCTGATATCCCTTACACGGGCGGCACCGAGTCGAACCGCGCATTTGACCCCAGACACGACGTCGGCCCAGACGGGTGTACCGGCCAAAGTGAAGCAGCATGGAGAGTTCCGTTTGCGCTGCAAATCGTGCCTGCTTTCATCCTGGGCGTGGGCATGATCTTCTTCCCGGAATCGCCTCGATTCTACCTCATGCGCAAGAGTGAAGAGAGGGCTCTCGGTGCGCTGGGCCAGCTCCGACGCGTCCACCCCGATTCGGATACCCTACGTGAGGAATATCTGGCAATCAAGGCAGAAGTTCTTTTTGATGAATCTGTGGCACGGGACAAATTCCCTGGCCAGCACGGTGTTTCTCTCTACCTATCACAATACGCATCCCTTGTTTCCACATGGCCAAACTTGAAGCGACTGCTCGTAGGCTCTGGGACCATGTTTCTTCAACAATTCATGGGCTGCAACGCGTTGATTTACTACGCGCCCACCATATTCGGGCAATTAGGACTGTCGGGGAACACGACCTCGCTGCTGGCAACGGGCGTCTACGGCATCGTCAACACATTGTCCACTTTGCCGGCCGTGTTCCTCATCGACAAGGTGGGCAGGCGACCTCTACTCATGTGCGGAGCCTTTGGGACATTTGTGTCTCTCGTCATTGTCGGCGCAGTCGTCGGCGCCTACGGCTCCGATCTCCAGTCGCACAAGGCAGCGGCCTGGACGGGCATCGCATTCATCTACATCTACGACATTAACTTCTCGTATTCCTTTGCGCCCATCGGCTGGGTCCTGCCGTCTGAGATTTTCAACCTCGGCAGCCGGTCCAAGGCCATGGCGATTACAACGAGCGCCACATGGATGTGCAACTTTGTCATCGGCCTCGTGACGCCGGACATGCTGGACAAGATCACGTGGGGGACATACATCTTCTTTGCGTGCTTCTGCCTCATAGCCCTGGCGTTTACGTACTTTGTTATCCCGGAAACAAAGGGCAAGAGTCTCGAAGATATGGATATCGCATTTGGAGACACGGCCGCCCACGAAGAAAAGATGAGGCTGTTCGGTATCGCGGCTACCCTGGGTCTGACTGCATCCGTGCCAGAGGAGAAGATTGAAGCCGCGAGGGGAGAGATGGAAGAGTATGCGTAGGAAATAAAGTGCTTGATAGGCAGTTTTTCTTTTTCTTTTCTTTTTTCCCTGATATAGCTCGCAACCTAAGGACGGGTTTAGGTTCCCAAGTGGGGATGGTTGAAGCGCCGGAAAGAGGCCCAGCCGTGACGTCGTCGCCGGCCAGTCCCCGTCCTACGTCCCGCATAGCCACGACTTGCCAAATCAGGTTGTTTTGGTGGCGAACGAATGGTATGAGACGGCCACTCTACGTCAGTTCTCATAATCGGTCGGCCGCGGCTACCGCGGGTGGCCGAGATCGGGGTGGCAGCAGGGCTGAGTATCTCTGCGGGCAGAATGTGGCTGTGGGAGGTCTAACTCGGACTGGAGCATGTTTTGATTCCGCCCGGACAGGAACTGTGTCGTGTGATGATGGCATTCGGGGCAATGACTGAGTGAGGAACAGGAGGGTTCGACGAGGCCAGAGTGTATCGTGGTGGCTGGAGGCTTAACCCTGGGCGTCACCGGAAACGGCATCGAGCATACGGACTAGAGCCGAGGGGGCTAACTTTGACACGCGTCGAATGAATACGGTTTGACAGCGAGCCTAAAATCGTCTACTGACTGTCGTGAACTGGGCAAGGTGCATACGTTCAACCGCGTGGCTGGCAATGGCAGCGCGTGGAATAGTTCAGGGCGCGGGCTCTAGATATTGACCGCCAATCATTTACTCAATTAGGCTATTTCGGCACAAAGTATTCTGCAGCGGAAACGCCGTCGCGGTCTTATCCGTCAAGTCTGCGTTCAATGCTGTACCCCGTATGCACGCCCGCCACAAACACGGGACGTCGAATAGACAGCCATGTCCATATATGCGCGCCTGATGCTTTACTCGCACCCGGGGATGGCATTCTTGGTCAAGATTTGGCCCTGCCGGAACCTCAGGTTGACGCCATGCCGGTGTCTTGCCGGCACGGGACGGGAGCTGGTCCCAATGACATGTAGCTGACAAAAGAAAATGGGAGAAGTCGGGCAAAGCAGAATGCCCATTGGCATGGGATGTACTCGGTATGCCACATCGCATGCATGCCCCTCCTTCTTTTTAAAATTCAAGGACGTGGTGCCAAGTACCAATGAAGTTCAATTTGCGTCTCGAGTGCTCGGCATATTCCGGCGGATACTATGCGTGCGGGGATTGAAGCTCCCGTGATGTGCCTTTTTTTTTTTTTTTTGTTTATACTAGCTCTTTTCTATCAAACGGCTCAATTCATTCCACAGTATACTAGACAAGAGCAGGCGTGTAATTTGTAAGCGGCAGTTCAACACCGCATCCTCGGTACCTTCAACAGAACGCTGCGCCAAAGAAGTCACCTGGACTTACACCGAGCCCCCGGTGCCTAGGCGCTCGTTAGAGGCTTTTGCAAAACTCAAAAAAAAACATTGAACAAAGGATAAGAGACAATTTTGGACCCCTGATGTTCGCCTCGGCACCAGGAGCACCCCACACGTAAACAGGGAATGAGACACATCACGCATCGCCAAGACGCCGAAACCACATGTCACGGTCTCGTCTATCGCGGAATCGACTCATCACGCCAAGACCGGCGGTACGTCAGCACGGCGGCGCGCCCCCATGACGCATCTTGAGCCCAGGCCCCCCATGTTCATCTGGTGCAAGTGCCGAACATGGACCCAAGGCAACGAACGACACGAACGGGCAGAGGAGCCGTCGGGGCGTAAACAAGCTAGATGGGCAACAAAAAGTTCCCGCCGTGGCCTGCGCATGCTGTCCCGAGCAGAGCAGGGCAGAGCCACGATGGCTGGCGCCAAAAGCGGCGAGGGACCCAGAATGAACAAAATGCCACATTGTATTACGTACCAGCGATGTGACGGCACCGGGCAGAAACAAGCCTGCCGTCTGCTTCAGACAGGACCGTACGGGCCCCGCGCAGCGAGGCGTAGTCGCCAGATTCGGGCAAACCTTATGTTTAGAGTGGCCGGATGGCACGGTCAGCACTCCGTACAGCATGGAGCATCGGCAGGCCGCGACGGACGGGGGGAGGGTCGCACGAGACCTGCATCAATGGACTGTATCCAGCCCACGATGGAAGTGCATGCCATCGAATCGACAGAGGCGCGAGGTGTCACAACCCGCTCCGACGGCCTCCAACATCGGCGAGAGCGACGGAGCAGCGACGCGACGACGCTCCGGCCCTGGTGAGGACCAGGACCGAATATTGAATGACCAAGAGGGAAGAATAGGCAACACAGCGTCTAGCTGCACTGCCAGCCTTGGCCTAGAGTCGAGGCTTTGCCGTGGGAGAAAAAGCGGGCGAGCAAGTCTGGTGCCACGCACAAGTTTGAAACCCTTTCCTCGGTGGTCATGCAGCACCAGTTCTACGCCACCTGGGTATTGGCCAGATTGGGATAGCTCCCACGATTGATGGACGTGGACTGCGCCCCCCCGGAGTCCGGGAGCCATCCGAACCACGCGGTCTGGGGTATATAAGACGCGACCAGGCAGCCGGGTGTTGGGAACCCTCCCTCGTATAAGTCACCCCATCATCTCACCACGTTCACGCCGTCCATCTATAAACACGGCCGTTATTCACCACACAAGCCAGCCAGCAGCTCACATTTTCACCGCGCCACACGCAACATGACCTCCAAGCTCATGGGCAAGCTCAAGGAGACGCTGGGCAACGACGCCCGGCCGGCGATCCCGCTCGCCCGCCCCGAGGCCGCGTCCGGCTCGGCGCCGCGCGAGATCCAGTCCTCGCCGCGCGTGCAGTTCAAGGGCTCCAGGTACGTGAGATGGCTGGAGACGACGAGGACTCGCGCTGACTCGGCTGCCAGCTCGACATCGACGTCGCCATCGACGGGCGCCAGCCCCCCCGCCAAGCACGACGTCCTCGACGCCGCGCACTCGCCGCCGTCGGTGCTGAGCCAGCACCTTGGCCCGCCGACCATTGAGCACAAGTATCCCCGGGATAGTAAGTGGCGGAGGCATTCGATCAGTGCGCAGGAGCAGCATTATTTGCGATAGGGGGATTTCGCGGGGATGGGGCTGTGAGAGCCATCAATGTATTATATGACTGTGTTTTGACGACGCTAGCTACCTCGGATGAATGACGAAACTCACGAACACTTGTTTTTGTACCGTGGCGAAATACCTGGTGTAACTGTGTGGCATGTGATGTGACCTGGCCTGTCATGTATGCTTTTTGCCACCGTAGCGGACCAGTCATGGTTCGTGGAATCGTGGGTGGGAGTCGGGGACGAGTCCAGAGTCCAGACTGTGCTTGCGGTGGCGCTCTTGGTGGCACGCTGATCAAGGCTGTCTGGGTTGCGGTAGGCGTTGGGCGTTGGGCACTGCTGCTGGTGATGCGGTTAATAGGCGTGCCGAGTAGTGGAAAGGGTGAATCGTATCGATGTCTGGCGTTTCTTTAAGCATTCTTCTGCCGATGCCTTCGGCTGGCTCCGTTTACGTCTGGGCCATTTAACCGCCGGTTAAATAGAAAGCTTATCTGGAATATCTCCGGTGGCAGTAGACGGGTAAAAATAGAAGAAAAAAAAGTACCACCTGCAGCGCAGATGAACTGATTCATGATGGAGACATCTCAAATACCTAGTAGCCATTATTATAGCCAAGAATACGGAGTACGCAGTACTTGCACGGCGATTGACTTAAGGCTGCCCGCATCACCCCGGCCGCGCCTCCGAATTCCCCGACGGAATCCACCACAGCTTCATGTCAACGGCGGGCGTTTCCAGTGGACGCGACACCTCATTGGGCCGGATAAGATGGCTAAAGGGACCAGCTCTGGAGCTCCCCTGCCCCAGATTTGCGGGGAGGCGCACGTCGGGGCATCATCGCATCGTGGCCCGAGGGGGCTATTTATTTAGAAACTTGCCCTGACGTTTTTCTTTTAAAAATTGCATTTCACTCTTGTCGGTTTCTGCTCTTACTCCTGGCTATAGTGTGTGCGACCGCCGTGTCGATTAGCCATTCTTGCTCATCGCTCCTCACCGTCATTCTTTTTACCCCGCCAACTTGGATTCAAGCGCCCTCACTTTTTCTGCTGCAACACCAGAACCCGCGTTTACGCTTCACCCCAAGCAAGCTGGCATTCGGAGCGCCAACGCCCGTCAACATGGCCACGCAAACACTGAACCGAGATGAAATCAGCGTACGACCCCTCCTCCCCGTCATGCAGCCCAACTGACACCTTCGCAGAACCTCTCCTTCATCCTCGACAAGCCATACCAAGTCTCGTACGCGGAGCGGCCCAAGCCGACCCTCTCCTCACCGCACGATGTCATCGTCGCCGTCAACTACACGGGCATCTGCGGCTCCGACGTGCACTACTGGAGCCACGGCGCCATCGGCCACTTTGTCGTCAAGGACCCCATGGTGCTGGGCCACGAGTCGGCCGGCACCGTCGTCGAGGCCGGCAGCCAAGTGACGCACCTCGCGCCCGGGGACCGCGTCGCCATCGAGCCGGGCTACGCGTGCCGGCGGTGCCCGGACTGCCGCGCCGGCAGGTACAA